CCTCGGCACGTCCCAACGCAGGCAGCTGAGGACCTGCTCTGCACGGCGCTGCTCTGCTTCCAGAAGGGTCTGGAGGTGCAGCTGAGGGAGAGAGCAGCAGAGAGGAGGGAAGGAGGAAGGCTCCTGTCCCCATCTGTGCCAGCGCAGCCCTCGCTGTCCCACTGCCATCCTCTGGAGCCCGTCTGATTTGTGGCATTCCACAGCTCACTGGAGCAGCCAGGAATGTTGGTCGCTGCCAGCGCAGCCGCTCCGCTCCTGGTGCTGCAGGAGGAATGAGGGCTGGGGGGTCTGTGGCGCTGTGGCCCCCCAGCTCTGTGCCCTCCGGCTCTGGCCAGCAGCCTGTAGCTGGGCTCTCTGGGCTGCCCTCTGCCTCTCATGGAGCGGGCTGCGCCCTGGGGGTTTCCAGCCCCTGGGACCTTTTCCTAGCAGCCGCTGGGTCGCTGTGTTGTCACCCAGGGCTCTCGTGGCTGAATGCCCCGCAGCGTTTGCTCCCTGCACTGCTGTCCTGCTCGGGTTCTCTTTTCTGTTTCCATAGCTGGATCCCAGGCTTTCCAGCAAGGATGAGAACCTGCAGCTCAGTGCTTTTCTGCTGCAGGCTGGGGTTTGCTGACCGAGGGACTCGCACTGGGCGCTCTTTGTGCCTTTACTGATTCACAATCAAAATTCGGTGTTTCCTGCTCTTCCCAAGTGCTTTAAGTGCCGTTTCTTTCTCCCTCTGCCTTTGGATGCGGGGGGCCGAATGCTTTTTCCTCACAAAGCACCGAAGCAGTGGTGGCTGGGATGAGCAGACGGGCCTCCAGCGCCGGCTGTCCGTTCCGAGGCGCCCAGCAGCGCGAGGAGCCGCGCTGTCACCGCATCGGCGCTGCTCCTTTAGGAGCAAACCCTGCCCCTGAGCCGTGTCCTTTGTGCCCTCCTGCAGCCAGCTCCATCAAGGTGGAGATGTACAGCGATGAGGAAGGCAGCCGGCTGCTGGCACAGGAGGATCGCATGCTGGAAAAGGACGACAGCGTCATCGTGGAGGATTCCCTCTCGGAGCCGCTGGGTTTCTGCGACGGGCCGGGCCAGGAGCCGCATTCCCCCGGTGGCATCCGGCTGCCCAACGGCAAATTGAAGTGCGACGTGTGCGGCATGGTGTGCATCGGCCCCAACGTGCTGATGGTGCACAAGCGCAGCCACACGGGTGAGTGGGGCTCGGGGGGGGGGGAGCCGGGCTCTGCTCTCCTCTGGGGGTTTCACGCTCTGCTCTGCCTCGCAGGGGAAAGGCCGTTCCACTGCAACCAGTGCGGGGCTTCCTTCACCCAGAAGGGAAACCTCCTTCGTCACATCAAGCTGCACTCCGGGGAGAAACCCTTCAAGTGTCCCTTCTGCAATTACGCCTGCCGTAGGAGGGATGCGCTCACTGGACACCTGAGGACGCACTCTGGTGGGTGCCTGGCCGGGGTGGGGAGCGGGGAGGTGGGGAGGGGTGAACTGAGAGCTGACAGGGGGGAGCTGAGCCCGGTGCACCCGGCAGCTCGGCTTCCTGCTCGGTCTGAGGCTTCCTATGGGGCAGCGCCAGTGTGGGGTGGCTGCTGGGTGCTGGGCGCTGGGGGGGTCGTCGTGTCCTGGAGGTGAAGCTGGGGGCGTTGGAGGCAGCCCCAAGGTTGTGGGCTGCATCTCTTTCCCATAAAGACGAATGTTTAATGGGCTTTATGGAGGTGGGTCCCAGCCCTGGGTGGGCCGTGCCCCGTGGAAGCACGCAGGGGTTCTGTTTGCTCTGTTCCGACGCCGTCCTTGCTGGATGTGACACCAGAGAGCTGCTTTTGCCTCTGGCTCTGCTGTGTCTCAGCTGGTGGGGCTGTGGGTGACCCTGCCTGGCAGTGCTGCTGGGTTCAGGTGCCCAGAAGAGCCCGTTCCCCCTGGGGAGGAGGTGAGCCTGATGGCCTCTGACAGTGATGGGAAGAACAGGCGAAGGAATCCATGCCCTGGAATCTTTCCTTATCTCTGAGGATAAAAAAAAAAATAAGCCAGAAGTCGGTGGCTGGAGGCAGAATCCCTGCTGACAGTGTGGAGGGCAGAGAGCACACGTGAGCTGCTGCTGTGCTCAGGTGTGGAGAGCAGCTCCGTCCCCATCCTGCTGGAGGGCTGGGATCCCCTTCCCTGGGGTCGGACCCCCTTTCCTGGGTCAGAACCCCAATTCCCGAGGTCAGACCCCTCCATCCCTGGGATCAGAACCCAACTGGGAGCCGTGGCAGCCTCCCCCCGCCGCTGGCATACGAAGGTGCCTGCGAGCCCTCGCCAGGAGACACAGAAGTGGGACACGTCCTCACAGCATCGAACAGCAATCAGTCTGTATGGGAGCTAATTACCGAGAAAACCTTCGTTTAATGTGGATTTCAGAGGCGAGAGCCGGGCGCCTTCCCTGCCCGGCGGGCGGCAGCAGCGCAGCTCTCCTCTGCCAGCCCCTAACAAAGCCGTTTGCATCTCGCACCGTCCCACAGGGAAGCACGCAGGGGCCCTTCTGCTGCCCTCTGGCTGGGAGCAGCGGGGAGGCAGCTTTGTGCCCGCTGCCTCGGCTGCGGGGTTGGGGATCCGGGGCTGCGGGTCCCAGCGCTGCGAAACATCGCCTTGAGTGCGCAGCAGCTGCTCAGCACTGACTCGGCTGCCTGTTTGGAGGTGCCAGAGCAGAGGCAGCCTGGAGCTCAGTGTCAGTGGCTCGGTGGCCCCCTGCGTGTCCTCACGATCTGATTTTCATCCGTGTGTTTTGCAGTCTCTTCTCCCACCGTTGGCAAACCCTACAAGTGCAACTACTGCGGCCGCAGCTACAAGCAGCAGAGCACGCTGGAGGAGCACAAGGAGCGCTGCCACAGCTACCTGCAGAGCCTGAGCACTGAGCCGCAGGCGCTGGTCGGCCAGCAAGGTGGGTGCTGGGGGGGGGCAGCGGGACCGGGCTGCCGGGGGTCCCACCCGGAGCCCTGCTGCTTCCGTGCCCGGTGGCCACGGGGTGGGAGGCTGCCAAGGCCGGCGCGGCGGCTGCCACATCCCCGCGTCTCCTCCCACTGCTCCGCGCCGCCTGCTGTCTGAGCGGCGTTCTGCTGCTTTGCCAGGTGATGAAATGAGGGACCTGGAGATCGTGCCAGACTCCCTGCTGCACCCTTCCGCCGACCGGCCGACGTTCATCGACCGCCTGGCCAACAGCCTCACCAAGAGGAAGCGCTCCACACCTCAGAAATTCGTGGGTAAGGGGCTGCTCCCTGCCCAGCCTGGGCAGATGGGAGAGGGGGTCTGGGGGGGCTGAGGCGCTGATGGCTCACGCTCTGCGGTTGGGTGCTGTGGGTGCTCGCATTGCGCCTTCCACCCTGCGGGGTGGGGAGGGATGGGGTGGGATGGGATGGGACAGCAGTAGGGCTGTGTGTGGAGCAGGATGGAATTGGGATAGCAGTGGGGCTTTATGAGATGAGATGGGGTGGGATGGGGTGGGCCAGCAGTGGTGCTGTGTGTGGGATGGGATGGGATGGGACAGGACGGGGTGGGGTGGGACGGGGGTCCCGGTGCCCTTGTGCTCTGACACCATCTCATCTCCTGCCCACAGGAGAGAAGCAGATGCGGTTCGCGCTCTCCGACCTCCCCTTCGAGGTGAACGCCGGCTTCGAGAAGGACGTGGAGATGGTGTCAGCCCACCACCCCCTGGACCCCTCCTACGGCAGCTCCCTGGCGCTGATGGGGGGCGAACACCTCCGCCCGCTCCGCCTGCCCCCCACAAACTGCATTTCGGAGGTGACCCCCGTCATCAGCTCCGTTTACACCCAACTGCAGCCTCTGCCGGGCCGCCTGGAGCTGCCGGGGGGCCGCGACGCCGCCGAGGGCCACGAGGACACGGCGGACGGGGCGCAGGCGCTGTACCGCGGGCGGGAGGCGGGCGCGTCGCCCACCAACGGCTGCCACGACTCCACGGACACGGAGAGCGTCCACGAGGAGCGGACGGCTCAGCCTCCGCCGGGAAACGGCAGCCGCCAGAGCCCGGCGTTCGCCAAAGAGGACCCGAAAGCGGCGGAGGGGGCAGCGCGCAACGCGGCCGGCGGCGGGCGGGAGGCGCTGCGCGTGGTGACCGAGGACGGGGAGCCGGTGCGAGCCTTCCGCTGCGAGCACTGCCGCATCCTCTTCCTGGACCACGTCATGTTCACCATCCACATGGGCTGCCACGGCTTCAGAGACCCTTTCGAGTGCAACATCTGCGGCCACCACAGCCAGGACCGGTACGAGTTCTCCTCGCACATCGTGCGGGGCGAGCATAAGGTCGGCTGAGCCCCGGGGGGGGGGGGGGGGGGGGGGGGGGGGGGGGGGGGGGGGGGG